TATGGGAAAAGGACAGGGGGTGGACAGAAGGAAGCTGGCTTATTCCAGCAGGTGACTAGCAGCTTATTCAATTAAACTGTCTCCTTTATTAGCATACATAATTAGGGGTAAAACTAAATTTATAGTGCAATTATTTAAAATTTTAATAGTCAATTTGTATTCACACTTTTTTTTTTTTTTTTGTCCTTTTTTTGAGACCGGCCGCACCGCCCTCAGCCAGTGAGCGCACCGGTCATCCCTATATAGGATCCGAACCCACGGCAGGAGCGCCACCGCGCTCCCAGCACTGCACCCGCCCAAGTGCGCCACGGGCTCAGCCCTGTATTCACACTTTGAAAGTACTTACTCTAGTTTAATTTTAGGACTAGACTAGTTCAAAGTGCTGCATTCTACAGTTAATTTCAAAAGTACTAGGGCATCCTTGTAAAGGCAGAGTTAACCTGTTGCCTTTTGCAAGGGAATCCACTGTGACACTCAATTGAACAACAAACCTTGGTTTCTTACTTTCCGGGATCCCTCAATCCCTCTCCCTTCTGCTTATTTCACTCAGGGCTGGGCTGAGTGTTTGTAACACCTTCTCCCCACTATTTTCTTCTACTTTTAGAGCAGTGGAAAATACGTTTGTGCTTTACTAATTTTCCTTTCTCACAGTTCTTTATTTTGCCATCTCCTTTCCCAGTGTTCAGCTGTGAAATCATGGGACTGTGTATCTGGGATGGAACTTGAGGTGAATGAGCACCCTTGCTGGCATTACTTTGCCATTTATTATTATTTCAGAAGGGAAACCTGAATTCCTATGAAACACCTTCATTCATTTTGTACTGGCAATGTGGCAGGTTTCAGAGCAACTCCTATAAAGGGGAAACACAGATATTCAACCAGAAATCTGCATTCTGTTGCTATCATATCGGTTGTCCCAAAATGATGAAGACTGTCAAAGATGATAATAAGGTCACTGTTACCTCAAAGAGTCTATTAAGTTCTAATCCATACGGCCGCTATATGCACAGTGACGATTTCTGCTGATAATCATGCGGAATTTAAAGAGCAAAGCATAAGGCCGGCCCGTGGCTCACTCGGTAGAGTGCGGTGCTGATAACACCAAGGCCACGGGTTCAGATCCTATATAGGGATGGCCGGTTTGCTCACTGGCTGAGCGTGGTGCTGACAACACCAAGCCAAGGGTTGAGATCCCCTTACCGGTCATCTTTTAAAAAAATAAATAAATAAAAATAAAGAGCAAAGCACAAATTCCATTGCACAGAGACAAATGCTTTGCTGGAATATGTTTCTTTATCCTTCTGGCTTTGGAATGCTACCATGCTTTGAAAGCCAGTAGGACATGCATCTCAGTTTTAATTCTTGATTTCTGGTAAAATATGAATAGGCCTACAGCCAGTGCTTCTGGGTCTGGTGTTATTTAAATTGGGGAAAAGATTTAGAGCAAACCTTTGAAGGCACACTTACCGCCTCTCTAGTGGGCGCCCATCACTGGAGATGCTTCGAGGAATGTTGGCGGCTCTTTCTGGAGGAGGCATTTTCCCATCCCCTTTCCCAGCGTTCAGCCGTGAGGTCATGGGACTCTGCACCTGGGATGGGACTTGAGGTGAATGAGCCCCCTTGCTGGCATTCCTTTGCCACTTGTTATTATTTCGGAAGGGAAACTTGAATTCATATGAAACGCCTTCGTTCATTTTATACTCCATCACTGGCATGCGGTAGGTTTCAGAGCAACTCCTATTAGGGAGAAAGCACAGGGAGAAGGACAATTAATACTGCTTTTGCTTGTGGGTGGAACCACAGTGATTCTCATTAACACTTAAAATGGATCCAAAACTTCATCCTCTGTTTTAAACCATCTTTCAATCTCTGGGCCCGCTAATTATTTTCCTTTCAAAAACCAGAATCCATAGCAAGTAATGCACTAGTATTTTCCTTTACTCAATCCTAACTCTTGAGTCTGAGATATGTAGGCTTTAAAAAAATAATGAAACCCATGTTCACCCTGCAGGGGGAGGGGTGGGCAGTGTCACCCTGAGACCTAGGGATGAAAGGCCATCAGGACACATGACAGGGGAGGAGACCCTGAGAACACGGGACCTTGGAGGAAACAAGCAATCAGCTTTACACACCCTTCACTGCATATCACGATTGGGGATCTGAAAGGGTGTACAGTTTTATATTTGTTGGGATCCCGAGAGCCAAGAAATTAAATTGGGAGAAACCACGAAATTAAAACCAAGAGCAAAATTTAGCTCAGAAGGAGAAAAAAAATTAAAGAAATACCACAATTATCAAATCCCTAGAGAACAAAGCATAATCTGAAATCAGACTCCCCCCCACCTCCGGTCCCCCAAAAGCCAGGAATCACACATAGCAGGGCAGCAGCCCTGAGTGAAATTAATGGCAGGCACAAATGTCTCATCGCTTTAGCCTCATTTTGTGCTACCATCTGAACCCCCAAACCTCAGGAAGTTTGGAACCCACTTTTCATTGCCTTTGCCCAAACCAGGGGAAGTTCTCTCAGTTATTAACTTGATTGAGAAACAAATTACTGAAAAAACCTATTTCCACTAAATCATTAACTCAAACTATGCATTTGAATTTCATACATAAGTGAAAAAAATGATTTCCCTTCTTAAATTTCAAGAATTGGAGAGCAGGTGGGAAGATGTGGAAAGCAGGGGTTAACTGAGTGATTATGGAACAGATCTTTAAGAGACACTTTAGAGGTAGTGTAAGGAGGGTACAAATTGCCCTTATATGATAAAAAGAGAATTCAAGCCACAAGCATGAGCCACAAATGAAATTTCAGAAAAGAAAAACAAAATCAGTAAAACTAATTTAATAATACATTTAATTTAACCCAATTTATCTAAAATGTTATGTCAATATGTAATCAATATTGAAAAATTATTAATGAGATATTTTACATTCTTCTAAATCTGATGTGCATTTTACACTTATGGCAGGTCTTACTTTAAACCAGGCACATAAGTGCTCTGTAGCCACATGTGGCTGTGGACAGCGTGGGTGCAAGGGGTGTCCAGCCAAAGGCCTAGTCTTAATGTGGGGCTGAGGCTGGGAGCAGGGGTGAGCAGAATGGAAGGGCTTATGTAGTTGGCTGCTGGGAGAGTAAGGACTATGCGAGGTGCCACTCTTTTATGACCTTGTCCATGTATCTCAGGGTTGACTTCTGACATTTCAAACATGTTTTCCATAATGTATCCTCTTCCACGTCTTTGGGAGAGTCTTCGTTTTTGAAAAGTGCTGCTTTTGGAGCATGTGCCCAGGAGGAACAAGACTCTACTGGAGTCCTTGACCTATTCAATCATAGTCTGCATCTCTAATGGGTACTTTCTTCTTGGGGTTTTCTTACCACTCCCTCCTCCCAATTCCCCCAAAGCCTAGGTCAACTGCAATCTGATGCTCTGTCCAAGGCTTCACTGTGCCCCTTTTGTGCTTCAATGGCAATGTCTTTCCAATTTTTTTGACCAAAACCCAAGTAAGAAGTCCATTTTACACTGTGTATAACTATAAATACACATACATATTCACCCTTACTCTGATATCTTCCATTTTGCTATATTAATATATTTCATGGAAAAAAAATATCTTGGGTGCAACCTCCTAAGCTGATTTTGTGACCTACTTAAGACTTATGATCTGCAGTTTGTGAAAAAATTGCTTTATGGCACATTTGATGTTACTTTTAGCAGTTAATGACTTCTTATGTCATAAACCCTTTTCTCTCATACTAGGGAATATTATCTTAGGCTTTGATATAATTTCTAACTGGGCACTAACTTTGAAAAATATTTCACCTAGGCCATGTTTTCCTTTTACTACCACCTCCCATATGCATCCCCTGCACACAAATTCCTTGGCTGAGTTTTATTTTGTGACACTGTACATGTACCTTCATAGGCTGCTTCGAGTCCATTTTGCACCAGGCAAGGAATAAGTAAATAAATAATGATAATTATGGTAATAGAAACAATAATACTGTAATACCAAATAGACAAGCTGATTTTGTCTTTGGGCCTTACTTTCTCTGTAAAATGAGAGATTTGGAATGGAGAATTGCTAAACTTTCTCCTTCACACACTCCAAAATAGTCTTTTAAGCTGCTTAACATTTAATACTAAAACTGGCTAAAAGCTCCCTTTAGTCAAACTTTGCCTTCTCTATAGTCTATATTTCATTTATATTACTCTAAACGTATATCTAGAAATATTCTGCAAATCCTATATCAACAGAATGTAGTAAGATAAAGTCTAAGCAGGAAGAGGAGATCCATTCCTAGAGAATGAAACAGTGAAGAAGGTCGCACAGGGCTAGCCATTAGGCACCTGCCATTTCTGATTGCCTTCCATGGTGAGGGTAGCCACCACTGGCTTCCTGCTCTCTTACTTACCTCTGCAAAATGTAAGAATAATATAAGGAATCAAGAAGTAAACAGTACACTGAAGAACAAAGACAAAAGCTGGCTTTTAATGCCATGCATAAACATTCATAAAAAAAGATTTTTATTCTATCATTCTAAGTAAAATTTGGTGTTGACAAATGGCAACTCTAATGACACCTGTAATTTCCAATGGGCCAGGCACTAATCTAGCCATACCTCAGCAACTCTATGAAGTAGGTACTACCATCATCCCCACTTTATCAATGAGGACATGAAGGCCTGGAGAGATTAACTTGCTCAAGTTTACACAGCCAGGAGGTGGCATAGCTGGAATTTGAATCTACAGAATCAATCTACCTATAGGTTAATCTTATTTTAGTTGCTAACTAAAGAATACCTCTCCAAGTCCCCAAACATGACAAAAAGGAAAATTCAACAACTTTTATAAAACCCAGTTAAAGAGCTGTGATCAGCAGGAATTATAATTTCAGGGCTAAAAGTGACAAATAGTGACCCCCTGAAACTACAAATTAATTGAAAAGCCATTCCATCTCCTTATTCTTTTTCAGTCTTTTTATTCTTTCTCTTTTAATTTCTTATTTTTTTATTATGCTCTCCTTTTTCCTTAAGACACGATGAAATAGAGAAATGGTTGAACACGTGACTTTGGCTTGGAAAAATCATGTAACCTCTTTGAAATAGTTCTTCATCTGAAAAATGAAAGATTTGAACCAGACGATTTCTAATAACACTCCTAGCTCTAAAGCAGTATGCTTCTGCACTTTAAAATACTTGTTTTTTTAAATGAAGAAAAAGCTTTGTGGCCTGTTCTTATTTAAAAAGTAATTTGGTCTTTTTATGTAACTTGGTTTTAGCTCTTCATTTCGAATGGCCCTTGATTGCTTTCCTTAAAAACTGTAGGCTAGTGGCCCTCCAGTTTAATAAAGATTAAACTTCCAGTTTAATAAAGATTAAATTGCATCATGCCATGCAATACCATTCAGAGCATTACAATTTAACCCATTATCCAGGCATTTTTCATCTTGTCAAGAGAATGAGGTTGAAACAGGCACTAATATATTAATGCTGGCCATGTACTCCAGAGGGGTTGAGGAATGGAGGGTGATGGATAGGGCGCCTCCTGCAGAAGGGGCTTCTCACCCTAGAGGCAGGCTTCCAGTGAAGCCCCCAGGACTGCTTGCATCACACTGTCATTCTAGCGGGTTGCGTAAACTCTACTATACCTCTGCAAGACTCACGCTTCTTGCTTTAATGAAAACGAAGCTGCCATGAACATTTTTTTAAAATGCTGAGCACAGGGCCGGCCCGGTGGCACACTGCTACAGTGCGCCGCTTGGGAGTGCGGTGGCGCTCCGGATGGACAGTTAGCTCACTTCGGTGAGCATGGTGCTGACATCAAGTCAAGGGTTAAGATCCCCTTACTGGTCATCTTTTTTTAAAAAAGAAAAAAGAATTTGCCTTTTTGGAATGATTCTCCCGTGGGAACATAAAAACCTACAGGAGTTCATATTACACACCATCGCAGCACTCTCCAGTGCCTGTGACTCTCAGGGTCCTGAAGATCTGAAGAGCCAGGCGGCTGCAGGGCAGTGGGCAGCTGCCTCTGCTGGAGCTGCAATATGGTAAGGTAACACCGGAGGAAGAGGAGGAGGGTGGCTAGTCACAGAGCAGAGTAATTAGGCGCCAGGAAAAGAGTAGTAGGAGTGTGAAGTGCTGAAGAGAAGGAAAATGACAGAAGAGCATTATCTTATTTTGCTGAAAACTGTAACAAGGTGTTAATGCTTCAACTGTTCCTTTTGAAGTTACTTCTGAAGGAAGGAGGGGGGCAGGCTCTCCAGTACTGTAGAGACATCAACGGCAGCACCTCCCACCTGCCCAGAAGGTCTGACACGTAATAACTTCGTAAAGCATACATTATACGAAGTTATACGAGAAGTATTCTTATATGGTAAGGTAACACCGGAGGAAGAGGAGGAGGGTGGCTAGTCACAGAGCAGAGTAATTAGGCGCCAGGAAAAGAGTAGTAGGAGTGTGAAGTGCTGAAGAGAAGGAAAATGACAGAAGAGCATTATCTTATTTTGCTGAAAACTGTAACAAGGTGTTAATGCTTCAACTGTTCCTTTTGAAGTTACTTCTGAAGGAAGGAGGGGGGCAGGCTCTCCAGTACTGTAGAGACATCAACGGCAGCACCTCCCACCTGCCCAGAAGGTCTGACAGTGGCTTCTTGATGGAAACTGCAGTGCTGCAGTGAAGGGGGCAGAACATGGCTCCAGACCCATGGAGACTCCTGTCCCAGCACCCTGCTGATGTGTCATTGGCATCTCGCTGGCTATGATAGGGTGGCATGTGTGTTTCAGGGTGATGTTGGGGATTAAGACAACCACAGGTCATTCACTCAGTGGCGTACTAGAGCCATTGTCCCATCTACCCCAACGCTGCCTTCAGGGACGTCATGCTGGTAGCCTGAAATCAGCTGCAGCAGGGGTACTGACACCGCAGGAATCAGCAAATACTACACATCAAAGCTTTTTTCCCCAATGGAAAGACAATTTACCAGCATCTCACCGTCTATTCTGACATGTAAGGAAGGACGTGTGCTCCAATGGCAGGTAAGAGCTGGACTGTGAAGCTAGAAAGACCTAAACTTGCCATTCCATCCCCACCCCTAAACAGCCAAAATTAAAAGTTCTGGATATATGTTTTGGCTTCCAGGGAAATCCAGTCAACCAAAAGAGAATATTTCTTCAAACTGTCACACAAAGGGATTTCACTATATTTTGACGTATGTGCACAATCCCTAGGCCATCTTGGAGGTAAGCTGTATTAGAAAATACTATCCCAAACAAAGTTTAGTTGTAACACTTGGTTTGAAGAACAGAAGTACATTTAGATTGTCACTACTGCTTACTTCTTTAAGGACACAAATAACCCATGATAACCATTTACATTCCACGATTTGATATTCACAAACCCACGATAGCTCAGGTATAGGACCGGTCATTTTGAGGAAATAACAGGATAAATAAAGAACATCATCTTGACTTTAGGAGGCCTAACAATTAATTGCAAAACTTAAGAGAAATTCTTAGAAAATAATGACTTTTAAAAAACCAGATCTTTCAAAACTATCAAAAATAGCATATGTATACCCCAAAGAGAAGAGAAAAAACTGATTAATTTATTCCATCAAAAAACCTCCCCAAAGACAGAGAAATTAAATTTTCAACAGTGCTGTTGGCTTGGCAGGGGCTGGCAGGAGCAGAAAGCTCCTGCGCTTTCCATCTGGGAAAAGGCTATGAACCAAACTGCCAAAGCATCATGAGCAGCACCAGCTCGTCTGAAACCAACTCCCGGCACATGCCGATGCAGATGAGCAAAAGCCCGGGAAGTCACATTCACCTGTCCAGACTGAGATAGCGAGGGTCAAAACAATACTGCGAATTTTGGACGCAATTGAGTACAAATGGGAGATAGAGGAGAATAACAGTGTCGTCAAACGAAAAAGGAAAAAATCTGACAGTTTTAGATGCTGAGCGTCTTTTAAAGAGTTCGATGTTTCTGAGCTACTGGTGCAACACACTTAAGATGGATATTACCAGTCTTCTCTACCTGTAACAGCAACTTTATAAATCTAGAGATGTAAGTCCTGGGAACATGCCCACATGCTGCCATCACATGCTGAAAGACAGCTGCGTCCTGAGCCAGACTTTCCATGGATGGAACTTTCATCATCGCATGTAAACTACTGCTCTTCCCAACACCCTACTCTCCTACTGTCCTGGTAAACCTACAGGTACACAGACCCTGCCTTCCAGCCTCAGTTTCACAAATGCCAACTCAGACCTACCTCCGTGGGGTGCAGTCATCGTGGGGGGGTATGATGACAACCTTCACTGTGACTGATGTTCTCAGAAGATCAATCATCTGCTCATGGCTCAGAGTGGCCACTGCCACCTTGCAGATCTCAACCAGGCGGCTGCCCTGCCTCAACCCAGCCTGCCAGGCATAGCCATAGGGCTCCACATCCGCCACAATGCCCTCGTAGTTGACATGGAAGCCAAGCTGTCCTAGCCCATTTCTTCGCAGAGTCATCTCCACCGACTCACAACCCTTTGAAACAAACTAGACAAGGAAATAAAATGTATTGTGGTTTAATGCAAAACTATATTAAGTGGCAGACATGGAACTGGAAAAACATTGTAAGCAGGTTTACCTCCAAATACCCTACTGCCAGCTGAAGAACAGTCTGGTTATTTCCCCTTCACTAGTCTCTATTCATTAGGCCAGAAGGAATATACTTGTTGCATTCAAAGAGCTCAATGGCTTCCCTGAAGTTACAAGGAAACCTCTAACAGAGACCTACGGGGAGCTGGCAGCAAACAGAAACTGCACTCTGCTACTCATTTTGCCCTTATAAAATTCAAGGCAGCAGATCCTCAATCAAACAGCTATTTTCAACAACTGCACCAGATTGGCTGGGCTGCAACATCAGTCACCAAGGTACTGGCATCAGGTCACACGCAATGGTTTCCAACACAAACATGAATGTGTCTTCCCCACTTGTTCTGCTACTTTTCTGAAAAATCATGGAAAACACAGTGTGAGATAAACTCTGTGTTGCTTCACATCATCAAGGGAGTTTTCAGAGGACCTAATAAAAGCAGTACAAGCTTCAGTGACTTGGCTGTAGTCTGCATTGGAAAGCTTTATGAAAGAGAAATGAAAATGGAAGGAAAAGACTTACCTGCAACCTTTTGACAATCTCTTTGATGTCCTCGTTGTTAATGAAACTCTCCACTGAAACACATTCTCCTCGCTCATAGAAGATTTTGAGGCTGGTGTCAGCTGAAGTCCAGCCTATCACATCTCTGCAGGAACAATTGAAAACCACGCTCTTCGTTTCCTGTTCAATGAGGACGATGAACTCATTGGAGACTCCCAAAAGGCAGTCTATTTCCATAGCCTTGGTGTAGTCTTTGGCCCGGACTGCCCACACAATGGCCCCCAGGCTACTGAGTTCAGCTCCTGGATATGGCTTAGACTTTTCCTTCTTCTTGGAGGCCAGAGAGATGAATGGAAATTTGCCAGAAGGGTCGATAGGGGTGTTGGTGACATTCTTTTCTGCCAGATCTTTCAGGTATTCCTGGCGGGTCCGAGTTGCCATTGCCCGGAACTTTTCTGATTTATGAGCAGCATTTTCTGCATTAATCACTTTGGCCAAAAGGAAGTCCCTGAACACATTTGACTTAGGGAAAGTGACCCCTTTAGGGATGGGAGGCCCAAAAGAAGGCACATCTCTGGACCTGGTGACGGCCACACTGAGAAACAAAGCAAAGGTCAAAGAGAAAAGAAGCATGTCAGTATTTCTCAGTCTTACAACATGAGAATAAAATACACTTTTTCAAAGACAAAGACATACCTTAAAACAATTTTGAATAATATGAGTGTACTTTTTCATTTAACCACATTTAGGATTTACAGACATAAAATTTTTTTTCTAGGCAAAGAAAATAAAATATCCAAAAACTTAAAGTAAAATCTTTCTTTCCTTTAACAGATAGGAAACTAACCGTATCCATGAAAAAAAAAGATTTACTATAACGTTCTGCATAAAAGGCATTTAAGATACCTACTGATTGTTTCCAAGGTGGGTTAGCATAATCACAGAAACTTCCAGAATAAGCACAGATTCTGTAAGAACACAAAAGTGTTCCATACTTTATGATGCCTATAAGCAGACAGCTTATAATAAAAATATCAGAAGATACACGGCATAAAAGAAATGGATTAAATTTTTAATAAAATTAAACAAATATTATTGCTGGCCTCTGTGTGAGGAATTATGTAACCAGATGAAAAGCATAATTTTTAAATAAAAACTGAAATTTGAATAATAGAATGATCATGCTCTTTATATAATAGCAACAATGCTTTAAAATAGTATTTGCAAACTGAACTATTCTTTGGTCCAAATTCTCTACTTTTGGTATTTGATTCTGACAATCTATTTGTAAGAAAAATATTTTCCTTTTCCCATTCCTCTAAGCAAATTTGATATAAGAAAGACTGCTCCTGTAATTTCTTCTGTATAAACATTGCTAAAATGGGCCCAAGAAAAGGACCATATTAACATCTATTATATTAACTCCTATAATTTTTAATCTCCAAAGGAAAAAAATTAAGTTTTTCCTAAAACAACAACAGAAATTAAATAGAAACAGAGAGGTCATTCTATATCATATTCCAGGATTTTGTGTGACAACCTCAGCAATGTGAGTCAATTATGCAACTTTATTGAGTATTAGGGAAGTAATGTAAAAATCTGTTTCTTCGAAACTCCCAGAATAGAAAGGACATAATCAGAGCATGTGCATCTTTTAAATTAAATTGAAGAGCTCTGTTTCACTTTTTATTTAAGAAGGATTTGCTTTAAGATATTCAATTTTACTTCTGAAAAATGATTTCTTGTTAAAAATGGATAAATAAAAATCAGCAACTTCACAAATTATATTTTTGATGAAATGGAAAAACTACACTGTTAGTAGATGCCATGGAATGCCCTATTTTTTGGTTTTCACAAATTTATTTAAAAAAAAAAAAAAATAGC